TTAAAGCAAAGCCACATTGAACTATCTGCTGTGTCTATCGCGGGGAATCGAACCCCGGATCTTTAGCGTTGTAAGTCCGTAAACTTACCGCTTCCCCACCGGGGGGGGGGGAACTCCACGAAAGAAAAGGATATCAATAATATGTTTCTACTAGATTAAGAGGACTTATCTATCACCCAATTTAGAGCAAGATGTAAAAAAAAAAAACGCGAAAAGCTGACGTGTTCGATCAATGACATTTACGTCTAAAACATAAAAGAAACTGATATAGTCAGTTTGTTAGATCTTATTCATAAATTAGGGAACTGAAGTGGTGATAGGGAATCATATCCTATATAGCGTTACTCATTTGAGATGGTGTGTCATGCGACACAGCTGGGCTAAGATTGATCTACTGGAACTTGCTGTAGCTAACACGTGTCTTGAACAGCTGTAGTTTATTTGCGTTTTCTATCTCTGGTTACCATGAAGCTGCTAGTGTGTATAACAGTTGATGCATCGCACTGAAAGAAGTTGTAGACCGTCTCTTCATCATGCACACAGTCTCGTAGCTTCTTTAATGTAATCGTCTAATCTATGTGTAACACGTGATGAGTACGTCGTAGAACACTATTTTCTCTCTGATCAATTTATCACGAAAATCGTGATGTTATATTCATAACGTAGCTCCTCATGCTGTGTCTTTCTTACCTCTGGTTACAGGCTTCAAGGGTGACGTACAGCTGTGGCGAGCGGGAAAAGGAGAGGCATTGTTAGCAGTCCTTCCTCCCTTTCCAGGACTGCCGGTAGAGGCGCTGGATTCGGTCTCACCACTAGTAGTGTGTGAAGATGCAGTTGTCACGGTAACGCGAGCGTCCTCGTTATCTGACGAATCTGATGATTCTCCACTGAATGGAACTGGCCGAATTTGTGAAGCACGCTGTGCACAACGAAACAAAAAACAACAACAGTAAAGGTACAGAATACCTGGACTAAAATATCATTAGATGGACTGAAAATAACAAATAGATAAAGAGAAAAAAGCGCACTCACCCCTTTTACCGTAGCATACACAGGGATATTGAGATCAGTGAAACCACTAGAGGACTGAGGTTCACCACAACACTTGCCTAGGTTATTAGGAGAGCCTGTGAAAGAACATGACAATAGCTTCATAACTGCTCGTAACTTCAAATACTGAAGTTTTAAAAACAATCTCCACTTCTCCAAGGAGTTTCAAATGATTACAAGTACAATTAAATATCCCTTTAAGCTATAGATAAAAAGAGATGAAAAAATACTATGAAACAAGCTACATCAGTCATGGCAGTTTATTAATTCCTTATCAAGATCTACAATTAATAAGATTAAATTTTTTATTCATCTTATGGAGAAAACGTTATTTTTTGTTTGATAAATGGAAAAGAAGACGCAGTTAAAGTGAAACTGTAACATTCGTTCGAACGCTGCTAATTTGAAATTCAAGTATCTGGGTATTTTTTTTTTTTTTTTTTGCTATTCTCCTTTTTCTATCGAAGTTTTAATGAACGTACGGTTAGATTCAAGATTTGTTCTTTTTTGTTTTTTTAAATTTTCATTCTTCAAAAAAAAAAACGGAAAATTGACTAAATTTAATATAATTGTGGTCGATAAAACAACAAAAAAATAGTTCCCGTGAAGACATTTCGTAATATATTACAATAAACAAATTAGCCTTATCTTTAAATTCAACGTTTGTTTAAAACAACTGAGAGAACAACTGAATTAGAATCAAAAAACTGCTGAAATAACTATGTTTTTTGGTGTGAACATTAGATAATTTATCTAAAAAGTGCATTATACATAACAGTAGATTAGGCTAAACTATTTGACCCATGACAGAAGTTTCTAATACACACTGAAACGGTTACGTTACCAGCTAATTTTGTTTGTCTGTTTTGAAGAGCAAAGCTACAAAATAGAGTATCTGTTCTCTGCCCACCGTGGGTATCGAAACACGATCTTTAGTGTTATATAGAAGTATACTATAATTAGCACATTTACTCAAGTACATCCATTTGTGAATCAACGATTAAAATTACTAAATGGCAATTAACATACAGTCCCTTATTTCTTAAAGCCATTTTGTTAATTTAAATTGTATTGAATATACTTATATGTGAAGTCAAATGATTTTATTTGTGTACTGAATTTCGCTCAAAGCTACTCCAAGGCTACCTCTAATCTATCACTTCAAAATTAAGAGACGGTTACCCGTGGGCTGCACTAAACGAATAGTGGGATTTGACTGTCACTCTAAAAACGCAACCACGGTCACAAAATATGGAACGAGTTTTTTATTTTTTATTTTATTTTTTTTTGCGGTAACGGGGCACGAACCAGAAAACTTCGGATCCACAGTCCGGTGCACTACTCACTGGGCCACAATCGGCCCGTTTCCTAAATGATGGCTAGATTGATGAACGACGAACAAATAGATATGTAGTATGGACCGTCTGTAATATATAAAATGTTGAAAATAGCCATAAATAATATTTTCCTTCAAAATATTATGATCGATTAAAAACCCATCACAGGTCTTTGAAGGAGCCCTTTTCAACGGTATGGTTATCAAACATTGCATACCTCTTTCTAGTCCATCAGTGAAAATCGCATCATATAACTTGATTCCAGGGAGTCATTCAAGATCCGGATTTTAAGAGTTAGCTCCATAAATGCAGGAAAAGATGTTATCAGAAAGTACTAATCATTCGAACTTCTTATTGGTAAGTTGCGGGTGGAATTGCCCGGCAAAAACCAACGGAAAGTGTCAGGAATTCATTAATTTGGTCTCCCTTCCCTCCCCCCCTTTTTTTTGAAAATTACGCATCTGTCCCTAAACAAATATTCCTCCACAGGTCACTGAGCTTGACCATGGAGTTAGATAGTTTTGAACCGTCTATAACTCGCATGGATCAGTTTTATTCATTGGAGAATCGTTTACTGAAATATTGCAATATATATATATCATTTTGGGTTTGAATATATGTTTTATATTAACACAATTTCAACAGTTTGAAAATATTAAAAGATAACGGTTAGAGAAAAAATGACATATTTATAGATTCGGTAACGCTTTACAGAGATAATTTAAAACTCAAGCAGTAAAAGTATTAACTTTAAAAAAAACTGTTTTTACGGCCTTTCAATGTCTTTCAAGAAGTTCAGAGTATTTAGTAGCTTGTAGATTAAAATTACATTAAATGTTTATTGTTTATTTGTAGTTACACACACAAAGTTACACAATGGGCTATCTGTGCTCTGCCCAACAAGGGTATCGAAACCCGGTTTCTAGCGTTGTAAGTCCGCAGACAAACCGCTGCGCCACTGGGGGGCTACATTAAATGAGAGGATAGAAGAAAAACCATAACCCAACTACTTTTCTAACTTTAGAGTAACTGTTTTGATAGAAGAAACGTGTTTCCTTAAACATAAATACTCGAGAAACGTAAACGCCCTGTCAATATTGTAAAATGAAGTTTTTCCTACACAATAAATTTCTGTTATATAATTATATGCGTTCGAATCATGCGACACCAATGGCTTTACATAACTACATTTGGCGTTTGAATCCCCAAAGTGTGAAGCTCTTCAAGGCATACAGTTTTTGTTTGTGTGAAGTCATTTTGTTGAAACGTAATTTGTATTCTGCCAGAGTTTACTTTTGACATAACGTGCACAGCGTATGACACGTGCATTCCGTTAGAAGTAAAAGAAATCTCCGGAGACTCAGAATTCAATCGAATTAAAAGAAAAGTCTATCGCTTATCTGAATTTCACATTACTCCAAATCCCAAGAAACTACATAGCAATAAGTGTTACTGGGTCGAAAAAAAAATATTCAAAACGTTAATGGTGAAACAGCAAACTATGACACACTTTTGTACACCAGGTTAGGAAAGCAAACCTCTGACCAAAATCTCTTAACCACTGTTTGATGAAATGTTTTATCTTTTCATATAAAATTTCTATATTGTATCACACAAACAATTTGTTATATTTTTAACTTGTGTATTATTGTCGTATTTGTCCAACTTCATTCAATGTATTCTTAAAATACCGGTCTACATATTTTCCTTCATAAGTTTTGCATAGCTTTTAAAATGATAGATAAACTCCTTTTTCCTTCATAAGTTTTGCATAGCTTTTAAAATGATAGATAAACTCCTTTTTAATTCATAAGTTTGCATAGCTTTGAAAATGATAAACTCCTTTTCCTTCATAAGTTTTGCATAGCTTTGAAAATGATAGATAAACCCCTTTTTCCTTCATAAGTTTTGCATAGCTTTGAAAATGATAGATAAACTCCTCTTCCTTCATAAGTTTTGCATAGCTTTGAAAATGATAGATAAACCCCTTTTTCCTTCATAAAGTATTAATTACGGAATTTATAAACTGCTCATTAAGGTTTATCTAAAACGAGTTACGTTTAAAGAGTGTGACACATATACAGGCCGTACTTACCCATTGTTGTTGTCGTTGTTGTTGCTGCAAGAAGTGAATCCGATGACACATTAATCCCACTCGCTGCTATTTCGTATATCTTCGATTCCTACAAATTAGACATACCAGAGTCTGGTTAAATCTCTTCATTAAACATTTATATTGTTCTTGACAAAGCTGCCCAATGGGCTCAGAGCGCTATGCCCACCGCAGGAATCGAAAAAAAACAGCATTTTAGCTTTATAAGCCTTCAAGCTTACCGCTCATACACAGGGAGGCTTTTAGCATCATAACGGCACTTAAATGTTTAATACAAAATATATTAATTTTTTCTTTAAAAACTTAATATGTGAAATTCGGAGAACTACCTAATTATTTCTCATTTTAAAGCAAGAGTGTCCTTCAAATTTTGTATCCAATTAGTTAATTGTCGCTCAAACAAAATTCAGCTATACTAAATTAATTGATTCATAGGTTAATAATAAAAATCAAACACGATTTGAATTAATAATAAACAAGCTCTTGGTTACTGACAACAAGTCAAATTTCGTACACAAGAAAGTACTACTGTATATTTCAAATGACCAATAAGTTCTAATGATTCAGAACTGACGCATTTTGATTGACAGGTGAGAGAGGCTTCAATGGAAGATTAAAGGTGGGATTAAAAAAAAAGTTTTGTTTGTTTTGTTTTGGATTTTTGCGCAAAGCTACTCGAGGGCTATCTGCGCTATACGTTTCTAATGTAGCAGTGATAAACTAGAAAGAAGGCAGCTAGTCAACACCACCCACCGCCAACCTCGGGCTACTCTTTTACCAACGAATAGTGGGATTGACCGTCACAGCCGAAAGGTCGAGCATCCTAACCACCAGGCCAAGTCAGGCAACGCCCTCTGTTGTCATCACCCTTTTCTATGGAATTCTGATCCAACTGACTTCGCTCATAGGCAAGAAGTATTTTAGATGTTGGATTTAGGTCATTCATCGAAAAGTCCGCAAAGACTTACTAGTTTCAAATTCACAAAATGACAGAAACGGTTTTTCCTGATGTCAGGCATCTTCAGATATCATAAAGCATGCTACCACGTTAATAACATCCTTTGAACTGGTCATTTCTTCTTGCTTTATTACGTTAATTTAAAGAAATACTAGTGAGAGAAGAAACAACTTACATGCAACAGGGATCTGAGGTTTTGAAGCTTGAACTCGAAGAGACTTCTTTCATTCTTAACTTTCACGTTTTACGTAATAATTATTCGTTTTTGTCTCTTTTAATGTAGCTAAGTTATCTGTAGTTATTGGCAAACACTTAGTGATAATGAAAACTGAATTACTCGTGATCGTTCCATTTTATTTGTGAACATAAACGATCACAAGTATTTCTTTTCTTTGTAACAGCTTTTACACGATGATCCTCATATACAGCCATGAATTTGATTCTGTTCGAGACGCAACTATGAATGAGATCGCTAATGAGCTGCCATGGGGTGGACACACCGGAGATGGTCCATTTTGTAGCTTTGAGCTTAACAACAAAACAAGCAAGCTAATGATATTGATTAAGCTTCGGATATAAGCGAAAGATGTAGCGTTTCCTTATTTTACATAACGTTATAAGACAGTTACTCCTCGTTAATTGGCTTCTTACATATTACACATATTTTCTTGTACAAAATTATACCTTCACGTGCAGTAAACATTACTCGAAAATTATAGGCTTAGGACACTGTGAATTGAAACCCGTATACAGCAACCTAACTAGAATTAAGAAAGAAAAAAAGTTTGGCCAGATAGAGTGACCAACAGACAGTAAGACAAATAGATATTTATTTTGTCCAACATACTAAGATACGCCTAGGAATCATTTATCCGCTCACGATCGAAATGAATTCCTCAGTTTTAAAATAGTTCCTGATTTATGTTAATTGCTGTCGACATCTCGGTAAAATCTTAGCAATCAACAACTGTATGTGAGCATGGTCTCGAAGCACGAGGTAATAATGATCTCGCCACTAGAGTCATTACGTCACCAGCAACGAAAGAATCTGAATGTGGCTGGGATGACAAATGAAATATCAAATGATATTGTGAATCACAGCTGAATGGTTCGAACCGAAGTTACCCTTCCATAGAGAATCCCGTCTTTCCTCTGTCATTAAAGAACTGAAGGAAACGGTAACAGCTTACTGGTGATTAGGCAGTTGATTTCCACGTGCATATGATATGACGTTAATGTATTTTTGTATCCGTTTACTTTTTATCGACCAACTAATCAAGCTTCTTGTGATATTAACATATATATATTTGTCGTATATATTACATTTCTGTTTCGGGATGTACTCGATACAACTGTTTATATTGTAATGTTCCGTCGTATATATTACATTTCTGTTTCGGGATGTACTCGATACAACTGTTGTAATATAATGTTCTTCTGTTTAGGGACTAGTTTTGTAATAGAGGTAGTTAAACTGCTGTTTAATATGGTTATGGAACATTACAATATAAACAGTTGTATCGAGTACATCCCGAAACAGAAATGTAATATATACGACGGAACATTACAGTATAAACAGTTGTATCTAGCGCATCCCGAAACAGAAATGTAATATATACGACGGAACATTACATTATAAAGAGTTGTTTGTTTGTAGTTAAACACAAAGCTACACAATGGGCTATCTGTGCTCTGCCCAACATGAAACTCGGTTTCTATCGTTGTAAGTCCGCAGACATACCGCCGTGCCACTGGGGGGCATAACAGTGGTATCGAGTGTACGAATTTATTTCGGATTAAAAATAATAAATTAGAAAAAGATCGTAGTAAAAAAAAAATATCACGAAAATACGCAATTTTTGCTACAGAGCCGTATTTTCATTAAAGTAAAATCGTATTCGCAAATTTGTTGAATTAATCCATTTAAAGGCTGTTAGATCGTCTAACCTTTGTTAAGATATTTCACTGATACGTCTAAAGTCCTCTAAATTAAGGATATAGTACTAATCGCAAAGACGCATTAGTGATTTCATTTTTGTTCTTAGAGCAAAGCTACATATTGGGCTATCTACATGCCCCCCAGTGGCACAGCGGTATGTCTGCGGACTCACAACGCTAGAAACCTGGTTTCGATACCCGTGGTGGGCAGAGCACAGATAGCCCTTGTGTAGCTTTGTGCATAATTACAAACAAACAGGTATCTTCACTCTGTTTATCGCGGGATGCCCTCCACCCTAGTGACACAGCGGTATATCTGTGGACTTACAACGCTAGAAACAGGGTTCCAATATCCGTGGTGGGCAGAGCACAGATAGCCCTTGTGTAGCTTTGTGCATAATTACAAACAAACAAACAAACAGCTATCTTCACTCTGTTTATCGCGGGATGCCCTCCACCCCAGTGACACAGCGGTATATCTGTGGACTTACAACGCTAGAAACCGGGTTCCAATATCCGTGGTGGGCAGAGCACATTAGCTCATTGTGTAGCTTTGTGCTTAATTACAAACAAACTATCGCGGGAAATTAAGCCACGGATTTTATAGTTATAAGTTCGTAAAGTCACAGCTGACCACCAGAGGACTATAGTGAAGGTAACACACTGACATTCCTAACGAACTGAGCTCAAATCGTTAAACTTTCGCATTATAACTAAAAGGAATGTTAATTTAATTAAACGGTAGAGTTCAAGATCAAATAGAGATTAAAAATTAACTTATGTACTCCAATCTTGAATATTTATGTCTAAGAGTTTTGTCAAGCTTTTATTTATATTTTAATTATCAGCTTATTCGGAATTATTATATCACAAGCGACGAATGTTCCTAATTAAACTAGTCGACGTTCCATAATTGCAAACAGAAATGATGAATTACAAGAATGTATGTAACAACATACACTCGTTTTGTTGCCCCCCCCCCAATGGCACAGCGGTATATCTGCGGACTAGAAACCGGGTTTCGATACCCGTGATGGGATCAAGGTATTGATTTAAATTTATTCAAAAATAAACTGTGTTGAATAGCATTGAATAAAGAAATATTTTTGTACTGGAAATGCGTAAGTAGAATATCACACAAAGGTACGAGTTTGGAGGTGTGAAACAAGTTCGATGTAAGACAAATTCTTAAAGTGAAACAGACGATATATAATACGTTTCGCTTTCTACTAAAGAAACGTCCATTCATCAGTGAACTTTTACTTCCTAATAGGCCCGGCATGGCCAGGTGGTTAGGCCGCTCGACACGCAATATGAGGGTCGCGGATTCGAATCCCCGTCACTAAACATGCTCGCCCTTTCAGCCGTGGGGGCCTTATAATGTGACGGTCAGTCCCACTATTCGTTGGTTACAGAGTAGCCCAAGAGTTGGTGTTGGGTGGTGATGACTAGCTGCCTTCTCTCTAGTCTTACACTGCTAAATTAGGTACGGCTAGCACAGATAGCCCTCGTGTAGCTTTGCGCGAAATTAAAAAAGAACAAAAAAACCAAATACTTCCTAATAACTTACTTTGTCGTCTTTGTAAAACTCTGTTGTTCATAAAAGAAGTTTGAATTAAATTAAATTTTGCTGAATATTTCTATATAATTCCTTTTAGCTTGTTTCGTGTTCGTATTGGTAGATAAGTTCTAGATATCCGTGTCAAATAATCATTCGTATGTCGGAACGTTATGCTGTAATATCCAAATCACGAGCGATAAACCACTTACGATTATTGTTTGTTTGTTATATTTCGCGCAAAGCTACTCGAGGCTATCTGCTATAGTTGTCCCTAGTTTAGAAATGAGAGTCTAGAGGAATGTCAGCTAGTCAGCACAACCCATCGTCAACTCTTTGCCAACGAATAGTTAGATTGACCGTCACATTATAACTCACCCACAGCTGAAAGAGCCAGCATCTTCGGTGATGGGATTCGAACTGACGACCCATATATTATGATTCGAGTGCCTTAACCACCAGGCCATGATAAAGAACTATTTGGCTAATATTCTTTTAGCTGCTTATGAGTCATTAATAATTTGTTACTTATGCAATTAATGTTGCATTCAATCTATTACTCTATGCTAAAGTTGAGTGATAGCCTTATCTGAGCACCTAATCGCCATTATCGAGT